AGGAAAGGATTTACTCTCTGGTTTCATTTGTTGTGGCCTCAAATGCCGACAAGATGCACCTGGATAGCGGGCTCGCAGTCCAGCCTAAACCCGGTTCAGGAGGTCCTAAAGCGGGTTTAATGTCGGTTGGGATGGACGTATCGATCCTGTGGCATCGATTCCATTAAGCAAATATCGATATCAACTATTGAAATAAGAAACTGGGGGTGCATGCATCACTTTGGATAGCTTACTTCAATTATGTGCCCCCGTACCTGGTGACGTATTGAGCTGGCCCGTGTCACATGACAAGGAAACTATATGAGCATCAAACGTGCGACTCAGCCGGCCCGGTCTTCAGCTGTCACTATCACAAAGGCAATAAAAAGCCCCCCAGAAATACTACTTCTACTTCTACTAGCTCTGTTATTACTGTTCTGTTCTGTGCTTTAGTTAATGTTAAACATCTCTCTTGTTTCTGCTCTGTAACTTCAGTGAAAGGGTACAGTGGCACATGTTCACTTCAACATACAGCTTTTCTTTTTTGAGAAATAAGTGAGGAAAGTGCAAATGTGCATGTTTTTGTTCATATTTATTGTTTTTTATTATTATATATATATTATTATGCATTGCACATAATACATTTGGGATAAATGGCCAGTATTTGCCATGTGATTTGCCTTCAGTATAATAATATTTAGACTGAAAAAATCAGTGATCGGACGCTGTGTTGGTGGAATATTATAGATTAAACTGAAACCTTCCACATGAAAGACAGCACGGAGCTGTGCTACTTAAAGATCAAACAGAGCAGCAGAAACACGTTGTGCATATTTGGAATTGCACCCAGCTGCATAACAGAACCTGCAGTAGTCAGAACTCTATTGGTCCTGAACACTCAGACCATTGTTTAGACTGCTGTTGTAGACTAAACAAACACTCCTCTTAAACAAAATGCACCTGTGACAGGGTCAGAAATACTCGGGTGCATGTTCATTTGAATGCTTTTATCGGGTCATTTATGAGATGCTGTTTTTGTGCATGATTGTTTTGGTCTTGTGTTTGATTTGCATGCTTTTATACGTGCTCTTTCTTTTATTACTTTTAGCATGAGTTTTATTTGTTTTACTATTGACTGTGTCTGTTGAATTGTCAAGCAAATATTCACAAACTGTCACATCTGCAGGTCATATTCCAGCTGTGGAGCCCTGAGGGTCAGTGAGGTCTGAGCCATGCGTCCAGCTGTGGTCACTGTCGCCCTGCTGGGGGTGGTGTACTATCTGTTCACCGTGTCAGCCGGACGTAAGTTACTGTTACCATCACCGACCATCATTACTGAACTAAAGCCCAATAAACCTGTTAGTTAAAGCACTTGTCTTGTTCTCACAGCTTTTTCAATAAGGAAAATGTGTCTCAGGCGTCCAGATAACCCATGCTCTGAAGGATGGAGCCGCATTGATGAGAATCGTTGCGCTACATATATCCAGAGCCAGAAAACTTTCCATGAGGCACAGGTGATAGAAACACACACAGACACATGAATCCTCAGACAGTGATGATAAAGGTGAAGACCAACACTCACTGTTGATTTCAGGAACACTGCAGAACCTTGAACAGTGACCTGGTGTCACTGCACAGTTATAACGAGCTTTCCGACCTGCTCTGTTTGACCTGGCGTGCCGACCCCTCGTCCCCAAACTATTTGGATTGGAGCCCAGAGATCAGAGGTAAGCAGTGAATGTGAGAGCAGATTGGCAGGGTTGGTAAACTGATGGATGGGAGGACTGATCCTGATGGATGATCTTCACCTTTAGTGTTTGTCAGGGAGCGATTAGGAACACCGACGGATCTGAATTCAAGCTGAATGTTTGGTTCCGTGTTAACAAGTACCGTGGAAAAGACCCTGCATCATCTTGAAGGTTGGAGGTAAAGACATTTACACCAAACTTTTTTTGTTTGCTTTACAAACATAAAGTTTCCCCCCCCAATGTAACTCCTGATGTCTTCTGTTGTATCTTTTCTTGTCTCCAGATGAGCCATGGTTCAGTGCGGTACGCTGCTCCAAGAAGAAGAACTTTGTCTGTGCCAAGAATATGTGATTATCTCCAGCTGCTGTTTGCGTCAGTGTGGATGTAAAGCATGAAAGCACAGATGTTTCACCAGCTGTCGAGTTAATCCAGGAGGGATGTGATTGTGTTCTCAGAGAGGAAAGTGGAAGTCATCTTGCCAGTCATTTTCATATATATAAGAGTATATATTAATATAGTATAGAGGAATATATTCTAAAGCTAATCTGAAACCGTTACTGCTACTGTTGAATATATATTGAAGGACCAAAGACTGCCAGACAAAACTACTTGAATATGACCCCAAACGTTCTGACCTTTAGTCTGATATAGTGAATTCATCTTCAGCATCTTCAGCATGTTTCATAGCCTCAGAGTGTACCACTGGGTTCAGGAATAGATGGGAAACTTGCTACCACCGGAGGAACGAGGCCGGAGGATCCAAGACTCCCCCGTTCCCATCCATTCCAACCAGCAGGAATAAGGTAGTGAGGCACCAGTGCTTAGAAATTCATGATGCATTTATAGTGAAAGAGCTTAGCTAGGACACTAGAGGGCACTTTATGTCTTGTTTTGCACACTGGAAGGGACAGATCTGTTTTTAATGACAGTGTGAGTCATTTCTTTGACTCCTTTTCTATCACTGAGTAAACTGTCGACCCCTGACTAAGTGACGTATTTTATGGATCTCATATTGTATCCAAGGAATAACAATAATCGATAAACAATGAGCCCAAATATTGAACTCAGTGACTGCAGGAAGTTTGTGTAAAACAAGTGATTTGGATGAATTTTGAGCAGATTATTTCCTGTGAATATTACATGAGAGATTTTAGCTCTTTGGTTGTTTTAACTGTTGACTTTTCTAATGCAGAGACTCTGTGTTTAATAGAGAGTGGAGGTTATATTTGCAGCTTGTGATCAGCTCAAAGTTTACATCTTAAATAATAATCTAAAAAATAATAGTTTTCCTCACAGAGAATAATGAGATGCTGAGAAATAGGCCTCTTGTGTTCATTATATAAACATAAACTATAGGTTGACTGTGTTTACAGTTGGGAACCACTGACCTAATGTCTTTATTTAATGCTGGAAGTTGGGAAATCTGTAGGGATCTGTTTCCTGTTGAGATGTAACCTGTAAGTCATTTCAACCCGTTTCACACAGGAAGTTGTGCCCAATATGAAATGTTACATTGGTATTCATCAGTGACTGTGAAGTTGTTCGGGTTACTGCAGTTGGTTGGTTTTACTTGAGGAAAGTGTTTGAATTCTGAGTCCAACACTAAACTGATGAACAGTTGGTGGATAGTAGTCAGTTACTCCGTTAATTTAAGTCTGCTGACGTCTCTATAACACTTGAATCTTTGTATTATGGTATTTATAAGCTGACATAAAGTTGACCAAAGACGCCTCAGTGCCTTTTCCAACATACTGACACACACACACACACACACACACACACACTGCAGCACATTTGTTACTGAGGTCATTATTTGTCTGTTCACAGGGGCCCCATGAAGAGATATTACATACAACCTAATCGACCCATTCAAAACTTTAAATAACTCATATAATCATATTTTACAGTCAGATTTTTAAACCTTACATGAACTTCTTTAGTTATAATAAATGTTCATTCAATGCTACAAACTGTCTGACATCCACTGCAGACTGAAGGCTGTTTCTGTTTCATGAGTCTCTCTGGATGTTGCCTCAAAGATGAAAAACAAAATAAACTGTTGTATTAGTACATTGTAAATAAAATGTACTTAATGTGCTAATATTGATACATCTTAAGCTAAACCTAAGCTAAATAAAAAAACTCAGGAACTTAAAGTTAAATGTGAACATTTGTAAAATATCCTCCAGTGTCACAATGATTTCCTCTGCTCTTCTTTTCTGCCACCTTCTGGTCATTTTAGTCACTGCAGTTCTGTCATGAGAACGTTTTCCTCAACTGCATTTTGCTTCTTTGGGATCTTTATTCATTCTTCTGGTTCATTATTATATCTGTGTTCAAACAGAAACAGGAAAGTGTTGAAGTTGTTGTTTTTATGTGTTTTTGTCTAATCAATGAATGAGTGTTAAAGTGAGAAAACTACACAAGCAGAACAAAAATATGATAATTGAACTGGAATATTTTTAACATCACAGTGACTTTCATAAACAGAACATTTCCAAATGAGAGAAAGCTTTTGAAAGCAACACATTTTCTTTTATTTCCTCCATTTTCCCCAAATTTCCTGCAGTGAAGATCATTTCAGACTGTTTGCTTAGTTACTGTTGTTATGCCTGTATGTATGTCAATAAAGAGCTCTGACAGGAACTTGGTATAAAAAAGGAAAATAAATATGTGACTTACATATTATCAGCGGTAGAATGTATAACACAAAACTGCAAAGAATGAAGATGATGATGATGATCCAAATCCAATAAAAAGGCTGAACTGTGAATAAACCAGATGATAGAAGAGAGAACAGAATGACATTATTGAATCAAACTAGAGCTCAACAGTGACAATATGTTTAATATATTTAGAGCTCTTTATAACCTGGAACATAGATGTGTGTCTCTCTGATCTGGTGGATTTTCCTCTGTTGGACTCTACAGGTGAAGATGTTGCTGTGTCTCTTCTCCACAGTCACTCTGCTGCTGACAGTATAGAGGTCATCAGGACCTCTGACTGTCTCTGTAGGTCCAGCAGAGAGGAGGTTTCCCTCACCGTCCAGCCAGACCACCTCAGGCTCTGGATACCAGCCTTTAGACTCACACTGTAAAACTACTCTTGTACTGTTATTGGAGACAACCTCTATGATGGGAGTGGAGACGACACCTGATGAGAAGAGAGGAGGAATTTCAAACAGTGGATTCAGATCCAACAAATAACTTACAGCACTGTTTTCTTTGTGTCTTATCATGGCTGCTTACTTCTAATATAAAGTTACATTACTGATCTTTGCAGTCAGCAGAAATGTGTAATTCATCATCTTCAGAAAGTCTGACTTACCAACAGTGAGTTGGATGGAAGCTTCCTTCAACATTGATCGAAGGAAGCAAAAGTATTTTCCTGCATCAGAGATTTTCACTCTGAAGATTTTCATGGAGACGTTTCCATTCTGCAGTTCATCCACAAACAGTCTCGTTCTGTTATTGTAAAATGGATTTTGAGTTTGATATATAAATTGTCCATCTTGGTGAACATGGATGTACTTTGGGTCTAAACCAGGTCTGGTCCACACCACTGTCTCAGAACTGGCACTGATTGGAGGATCAAGGTAACATGGTAGAATGACATCATCACCAGGCAGGGCTACGATTGGTTGATGTGAACAAATCAACTCTGACTGCTCTGCAACACAAACTAAAGAACAAACAAGAAACAGTAGTATAGTTATAATACATGTTATCAGACTGAATGGATTCATTTTTACTTTCTAAAAGTAAGAAAACATTTAATAAAACTGCATCAAAAACAAAGAAAACACTCTTAAAATGTCTAAAGTCTTTTTTTTCTCTTTCTAATTATTTCTTCCTGACTACAGTTTTTTTTATCTCAGTCAATATGTGACATTATGTGTAACTGAAGAGTGAGACTGTGAGTAAAATGTTAAACAGTCCTGTATCAGGTTGGAAATATTGCTTTGGGTCTCATTAAATCGATAAAGGTCGAGACATACGACCACCCACCTAGAGCTGAAGGATCTGTCCTAGGTTTCTGCCTTTTAACAGGCAGTTTTTCCTTGCCCTTGTCGCCAAGGTCTTGCTCATGGTGGTACTGTTGGGTCTCTGTAATTAATGTTATAAGGAGTTCGGTCTAGACCTGCTCTATTTGAAAAGTGTCCTGAGATAACTTCTGTTATGAATTGGCGCTATACAAATAAAATTGAATTCAAAATTTAATTAACACACACACACACACACACACACACACACACACACACACACACACACACACACACACACACACACTGTGCTATTGTTTTGTGTAGAAACTACCTGTTAAACACTGTATTAGCAGAATGATGATAAACACAGCAATGTGGATCCTGAAGAACAGTCCAATGAGCAGCATCTTGGACTCCTGAGAATGAAAAAAGTTGGTAGTCTTAATTTAAAAACATCACACAAATAAAACAAATGTCTTCAGTGGAAAAAGAGGTTGAACAGGGTGGAAACTGTAGTGTCTGTGTGTGCAACTTTTATTTATATGGAATATATAGATGAGAGGCTGTTGCAAGTGTGTACTGAAAATAATTGTAATTTATGTGTATTCATAAACTCAATGAGTTATTTCATAAAGTGGTAAAAGTTTAAATGTTGAACTGTGGTTCGTCCTATTAACCAGGGAAACGAGTTACAGCTTGTAAAAAACAATTTATAAATTTATAAAAATTTAAAATAAGATAATAATTGTCTAGTCTCAGTCAAGTTTAGTTACTCTGCAATGTGAGATTATTGATCAGGTATTGTATTTAAATGTTGATTAGCTGGACATATGAATGAAATGTGGGGGATCCAGTTTGAATGCAGATATTCTGAGACTTAAAGCTGCAGTCAGAGTCTGTAGACTGATGGTTATATTGTATAGACAAAGATAATGTCAAATATATATATGAACTATATTTTTCATTATAATCTAATATTTTCTATGATACAACATTCTTATTTTGTGATCTTATTTATTATTGTACTTTTACACTTCTGTGCTCTTTGAACTACATTCCCCAATGCTGCTGTGTCTGATTTTAATTTCTCCTACGGGGGATAAATGAAGGAACATCTTATCTTATCTTATTTTATCTTAATGATGAACAGACTTGGTGGGTGTCCAAAAACATATTTGGACAATACAACATAAGTGATCCCATGAGTGCTGTTTACAAGAAGTCCAAGTTCAGATACAGTTCTTTTACAAAAAGAAAAAAAGAAATACAACAAACATCAACAGAAGAGGTTAAATTAAAATATTAAAGAGTTTACATGAGTTAATCCTTTATTCCCAGATGTTTTACTGTATCCTTTACTGGGATCAGTGTCTGCAATGTCTTTTATAGAGCACGAAATGACAGTAACACTTTGTGTCACATGAATGCAGGAAGATGGTAGATGGACAACTGCTTCCCCACAGCACTGGGAAAAACAACCAGTTCACTGAATGACAGGAAAGCGAAACCAAACACACATGATGATGTCTTATTGTTTCCAAAGAATGTAATAAATGTATTAAATACATCATTTTATGTCTTTTTTAAATGTGATTTACTGATAATTAGCATCTCGTTGTTGCCAGATTGTATATTTTCTCTTTTTGTGAGTGAGTTGTAACACAAAGCCTTTCTTTATAAGAAATAACTTAAGTTTCCCAAATTTTTAAAGTTTATTTATTTTTAGTTCTCCTCACTCAAAACTCAAACTCTAAAATTGTGTGGTTTTCTAAGAGTCTGGGGATATTGTGGTTACTGGTTCAGTCAAATCAGCTGCTGCTGATCTCTGCAGGTAAAAGAGATACAGCACATTTGCATTAAACAAAAAAGCAGCAGGTTGTTTTTACAGGATAAGTTGAGTAGACGGTAGTTCTGTCTTACATTACATTAATTTAAACACAAAGTATTGATCTTATTTGTTTTTCTTCAGTAAATTCATGGTATAAGAGGGATAATGTCCTTCCAGGTGTCCATGATCAGGAATTAATGGACTTCATGGAGGCAAACGTCCCCCGTTGGGAATTATCCCTCAATATAAACGACACAGAACATTTCTCCATAAAACAATCTGCACATTGTTGTAATGGTCAAAGATTATGAAATTATCACATATCCAATATGTAACATTCAAGTTTTACTTTAAAAAATGAACTCTTACCTGCAGATTGATGGATGCAAACTCTCCACTGTGATGTTGGTTCTCAATGACTTTATTGTTCTCTTCCTCTCTGATATAAAAGGAGGAAGTAGTCAAAAAAGGTCAGATCAGAAGGGGGAGATATATAATCTTGGGGGAGTGGTTCAGTGAGGAGTGGCAGTGATGCAGATGGAGGAGAGAGTTGTGATTCAACAGTAAGTGATATTGGCTGATACGGTCCATTGATTCTGTTCCACCTGTTTGTGGTAGTTTACAGGTAGTGGAAAGGTAATTATGGGTTAACTATGGTCCAGCAGTTTCCACGTCTACCATTCACTTCTGGGAAACAACTGTTGTAGACAGTGGCTGACACTTTCTGGGTTTATCAGAAGATAAGACTGTGGAGATTACATCCGTGCAATAAGGGGCACAAATAATAAATACTCAGTAACTACTAAAGCATTATGTTAGCCCTCTATGTCGGTCTATACAAAAACAACCCACCTGTCTTGTGAGCTATACCACTCGCTCTAACAATCATTCTCATGCTTCTGAACCTTTCTCTCAGTTTAAAAAGGACAGACATTGTTGCATCCACGTAGAAACAAAGCGTAT